GCTTTTGCTTATTTAAAGTATTTATTTTTAGTTATTAATTTATTGTTATTAAGTTAAATTGCAGAGAGAGAGAGAGAGAGAGAGAGAGAGACAATTTTATTATCTCTTTCATCATCATCTAACTCACTTCCTGACTCCTTATTTATATTTTATATAATTTTTTTCTCCCTAGTAGTTTTGTAAAGGAGTTGCTAATTTTCATTCTGAAAACAATCTTTCTCAATCGTTGAGATCCCTCGCGTCTCTGCTGTATGATTTTCTTAAAAATAATTGTTTAAACATTTTATCTTCCTCATAAGGAAGAGGTATTCAACTAACGAAAAAATCATAAAGCAATAAAGCGTTTGGTTTTTCTTCAAATCCCTTGGCATTTCAAAACAGCAACCAGTAAATTATTGAATTACTTTCTCCATTACTATTTGAAGCAAAGTATTCTTTTTTATCTTCTTTTCATATATCTGCGAAAAGTCAATAATGATGAGTTTTTTCTCCTTTTATTCTCAATTTATTTGCTTCTTCTCACTTTGTTTTATTTATAAAATTCTCCTCTAACCAATCTACAAAACTGGCTCAACTTCTCCATCTCACCATACCCTCAGTGGGGTTTTTTCGGTAGTCTTGTAATAATTTGTTAAATTCTTTTGCTAATTCTTTTTCTTCTTCGCTTCCTTTAACTAATATATTATAGACATAGTTACAACTATCTTTATCGCTAGGAATAAGAAAATTCATAAACTCTTTCCCATCATCGTATTCAGTGAGAAAATTCTTGTAATAAGTTCCCCAATAATTCAAAATATCTAATAAACAACCTGCTACTCCTCTTTGTTTGCCTTTTTCAATATAAATATTAAGCAAAGGATAATCTTTCTTTTTGTTCTCTTTTATTGTAGCAACAACATTTCATTTTTCCACAACAACATCAAAAATATTCCTCCTTAACCAATCATAAAATCCTTTTCAACTTCGACTATGTATTTGACTTTCAACTTGTTCCATTTTCCGTTTTCACTCATTTTTCTCTTTTTCTATCTTCTCCTCTAACTCCCCAATTTGATTTCAAATCTCTTCATTAACCACTTTTAACTTTTGGACTTGGTCTTTTAATAATTGCTTGTCTTGCTCTAACTTACTAATCTCTTTGCTTGTTAATTTTGTCTGCGTTTCTATTTCCTTTACTAAAACCTTATTTGGATTAACTAAAATAATTTCTGCTTCACTCTCAATGGTGATGCCACCAAAACTGGCTTTTCTCAATAGGACTTCCGGATCAATATAAACTGGCTGATTAATATCTTGACCTTTTTCTAAACCTAATTTCTCCATTAGCGAGTGCGGAATGTCTAATTGAATTCATTCCTCCTCTTGGGCAAAACCATATCTTTCAGAGAGTGGTTTATCTTTCCACTTGGGATTAGTTGAACCACAATAATTCCCTTCTTGGAGTTCTATTGGAATGAAATTAACCGGAATTGATTGTTTTAATTGAGTTAATATCTGTTGGATATTTAATTGTTCTCCTTGGTTAAGGGTTAATTCTTCCGCATAAGGAGGAAAGTTATTTTTGTCTGTTTTTGTCATTGTGAATTTTATATTATTTTTGCTATTTTCACTTACTTCTCAAACTGTTTCTATTATACATAGATTTTATAATTTTTTTGAACAAAGGCATTAAACTCGTTGAATTGTTCTTCTGCTTTCAAATGTTTCTTCATTCCTCTTAGTTTAATTTATGCATCAAACTTTATATATATTGTAAGAGAATAAAGTATAAATTTCCTAACCAAAACAGTTCTAAAAAAATAGTGAAAAAATGAAAAAATAAAATTATAAGGAATGAGTAATCCCAAAAAAGCCCCCCAATTTTTGTTCGGTTTAGAAGTTCATATTACCGTTAATAGTCCAAACAAAATCTTTAATTGAGAAAATACTTATCAAGGAGATACTCCCCCTAATAGCCAAGTTGGTCCCTGAGAATTAGGTTATTTAGGAGTTTTACCAATAATTAATCCGGAAGTTATTGATTTGGGGCTAAGATTAGCCGTGGCTTTGGAAATGAAAGTTAGTAAAACTATTCTTTTTGACCGGAAAATTTATAATTATTTTGATTTGCCAAAAGGTTACCAAATTACTCAACAAGAACTCCCATTTGCTACTGCTGGTTATTTGCCAATTAGCGAAGAGAATGAGATTAAAATAGTGCCAATAAAAATTCTGCAACTAGAAGAAGATACCGCCAAAAGTACTTATTCGCAAGAAGGAATTAAATTAGACTTTAATCGAGCTGGTAATCCCTTAATTGAATTAGTTACTGAGCCAGTTTTTCAGCGAGTAGAAACTGTTTTAGTATTTATTAAGCAATTACAAAATCTCCTCCGCTATCTAGGTATTTCCCAAGCCAGAATGGAACAAGGGCAATTACGAGTAGATTTAAATTTTTCTCTCCAATTAGGTGATAATTACTCTACACCACGTTATGAAATTAAAAATCTTAACTCGTTATCTAATATTGAAAAAGCTTTAAAATACGAAATTGACAAACACCAATTATTATTTTCCCAAGGGCAAAACCCCCCCATCAGTCAAACATTAGGATTTGACGAAAACAAACAAATTACTATTACCCATCGGGAAAAGACTAGTTATTATTACTTGCCGGAAGTTAATATCCCTCCCATTAAGTTAAAAAGTTCAGAAATCCAAAAAATAAAGAAAAATCTTCCGAAGTTACCTTGACAATATTGAGAAGAAATAAAAGAAATAGACATTGAAACTGCCAACAAACTTCTCAAAAATCCCTTTTTGTTGAAAATATTTAATGTTTTAGAAAAGAAAAAAGTTTGAGAAAAAAAAGAAAGCAAAAATTGGACCACTTTTTATCTAAACTATTTATCTCCTCATTTTGGAGCAGGTAATATTGATTTATTCAGCAAAAAATGGCAATCTTATTCTAGTCTTTTTGAACACTGAAAGGAAAAAAAATTAGGAAATGAAGAAATAATTGCAATTATTCAATCTCTTTTAACGACTAAAAAAACTTTTTCCTCCTTGGTAAAAAAATATGAAAAAAAAACAGATATTAATGAAAAACTAATAGAAAAAGAATTAAAAAGTCTATGAAATGCCGAATTAGCTAAAATAATTACTACTAACCGCCAAAAAGTCCAAAATTACCTGCTCGGGCAAATGAGAAAAAAATTTCCTGACTATTCTTTCCAAGAAGTTATTGTAATTATCATTAATTTTTTGAAAGAGAAACATTAGTATATTCCAATGAAATTAATAGTTTGCTGGCTTACTTTACTAATTGTACTGCCACTTTGCTATTTATTTTGGCAAAAAAAGCCCCGACGGTTGTTTTTGGGAATAATTATTTTGGTAGTTCTAATAGTTGGTTGAATTTTACCAGGCAAACTAGCTTTTTCTATGCTAAAAAAGGAGTTAAAAGCGGTGGAAGAAAAAATGGATAGGGAAGGTTGATCCGAACGAGGAAAGAAAGAAGAAAGATGACAGTGAGAAAAGTTAGAAGAAGAGATAAAAAATGTTTCGCAGCAGGAGATAACCCTCGAAAATCAAGAAAAAGTTGCAGTTGCGAAAGAGATAATTAAATGAAAAGAAGAAATTGAAAAATCAAGAGAAGAGAAAAACAAGTTAGATGAAAAAGAGAATTATTATCTTAGAAATCAAGAAATTATTAATAAAAATTCTAGTTCGCGCCAAGAATGGGAAGAAAAAAGAGAAAAAAATCGCAGAAAACTGAGAAAAGAAGTTTGACCAAGAATGGCAAAAGGATATAAAATGGAGTATGAAAAAAAGTGAGAATGAGCCAGAAAATGAGGCGGAAAAGCAGATCCGCCAGTTTTTTTATTCTGTGGTGAGGAATTTAATTATGAATTAACCAAGCGACGAACAACTTTCAAAGGAAGTTGAAAAATAGTTTACGATTATGATTGAAATTCAGACGTAATCGATTTTGGAAAATTTGGAAATGCAAAACCTGATTTTATAAAAAAAAGAATTAGAGAAATTTGAAACTATTGAGGTAGCGGAATTACAAGGGGTGGATTTGTGGATGATTATCCAATTATTTTGTTTAAAAATATTGATAAAATTGCTAATTCAGAATTAAAAAAAGAACTTTTAATAATTTTTGACCCTAATAGGAATGACAAATACGATAAATATCAGATAAAAGATTGGGGTGGGAAAACGATTGGCGAAGAAGGTTATATTGACCTATCGAGATTTGTCTTGGTTGCTACCACTTCTACTTCTAATCCTCAACTGTCTGAGAATTTGCAGGACAAGTTAAAACATGTCGAACCATTTTTAGATAAATATTTTTGAGTTATTTTTCTTATTTCAGGAGGACTAGAGGTTATTATTATTCTCTAATTCTGTGATTTGCTTTTTTAACTCTTCATTGGCCTTATTTTCATTATTAGCACTTTTCATAATTTCTGTCAGTTCTAATTTGTAGTCATCAACCTCCTCCGAAAATACTTTTGCTAATTTAGCGTTGTTAACTACTGAAAGAGCATTTGAAAGCCCCATTCCTGCGATATGCCTATGAATATTAGTATACTCATGAGCATTCGGCCGGTAAGTAAAACAAAAATCAACCTTTGTTACTTCTTTGGATAAAACTTTTGTGGAGTTATCTTCTATCTTGGTGTTATTAAAAAACTTAGTCATCTTAATTTTTTCATACCGCTTAGATGTTTTAAATCTCCCTCAAAATGATTGTAGTCATTTTCTCTTTCTCCACTATTTCCCATTCAAATTGATTGCAAATTTATCAAATGGGACAAGAAACTTAGGTCTTGTTTAGGAAATTTATTATCAGCAATATCCAAAGTTCTTAACTGCAAGTTATTGCTAAGGTCAAGGTTAGTTAATTGATTACTGCTACATCCCAGTTTCTTCAAATTGAGACAATTATTAACACTTAAATTTGTAAGTTCATTAATTCAGCAACAAAGCACAACTAGCATTTTATTACTACTACAATCCAAACTAGTTAGTTTATTACTGCCACAGTTTAGTAATTTTAATTTGGGACACATACTGGTATCCAAACTAGTCAACTCATTTTGGTCGCATTCTAGCACTTCTAAGTTGCTAAAACCTTCTAATTTTAACTCGCCTTTCAATCCTTTATTAGTAAGATTTAACTTAATAATTTCTTCTCTTTTTTTGTTTTTGTTTTCTGGGTCAAATTCTCCATTACAAACTCCATCTTCTGGATACTCTTTATTTAGCAATTCCTGCGGATTTGTTAACCAATAATTTATTCAATAATTAGCTAAATCATGTTCGCCTTTATTACCACTACGAAAATCTTTTAATTCCTCATTAAACTTTTTTGATTTATTTTCTGGGGTGCCATAACCTTTTCACAAATCACCATAGCATCAAAAAGTCATTAAACTTTTTGGCAAGTACTCTAATCCGGAATCCACATCCGTTCAACCAATTTCTAATTCTTTTAATTTACTCATGTCCTTTAAAGGTTCTAAAGAACCAAAAAAACGGTTATAAATATTTTCCTTAGTTTCACGCTTATAATTACCAATTCATAGTTTTTCTAAATTGGTGAATTTGCTGAAAGTAGATAAATCTTGTTCGGAGAAATTATTATCTGATAAATAGCATTCTCTTAGTGTTTCAGTATTTTCTCAAGAAGTAATATCTTCTAAATTGGTAATTAGATTATGACGAGCATCTAAGTAGTAAAGGTTTTTTAAGCCAGCAAGTTTTAAACCAGTAATTTCGTTATTAGAGCAATTCAATCATTCCAAATTAACAAAATCACTCAAATCTAATTCACCTTTTAGATTTTCTTTATTAATTTTTAATACTTTTACTTCTTCTTTTTTTTCCTTAGTGGGATAATAATTATTTATGTATTCTTGGGCATTTACCATATTTTTTGTATTTTATTTTTCTTAATTCACATACACTACTCTGACAATTAAGCCAATTTATAACAAATTAGGTAGCGGCTGATTTTTAGAATTATGCTAATTTGCTATCTTTTTATTTTCTGACCATAGGCAATTATTTTGATATAGCAGATTGATTGCTAAATGTAATATTTAATGCTATATAAATAATTTTAAAGTTGAACATTCTGAACTAATTAAAATCTCTTTTTGCCGAAATACTTTCCAACCTTTCTAATTCTTCTTTTTGTCTAATACCTAATCTCTTTTTGGATTTTAAATCTTTTATTTTCCCTTTAATTCTTTTCTTGCTTTCTAAACTTTTATCACTTCATAAATGATAAACTACTAAAGCATCTAATTGGTGCAAATTAATTTTTTGTCGCTTATATTTCCAACCCTTGCCCCGTCCGGCTTGACAAGTTAGGCTTTCTATTTGTTCCTGGCCACTAAAAAGTTTGTCCTTAAAAGGTTTGACTTGATTAACCGCCACACTATTTATTTCTTGAATGAAATTGAAGATGTATTTTAAAGCCATGATACCACCGATTAATTTGTATAATCCAACTGTTCCTTGGTGCTGACGACCATAAATATAGGTGGTATTCTCGTAAATAATGATATCAGGCTTCCATTCTTCTACAATATCAATAATAAATTTCAAATGTTTTTCTCAATCCTTATTTTTGTATTCAGAAAATACATGGTTTGATTTGCCAGCAACCCGAAAAAAAAATACTCCGGTGGTGCCAGTTCCAGAAGGGTCAAGACATAAATACTTCATAATCCTTTTTTACCTTATTTAGAGTTAAGATTATTATTAATTATTTGTGACATTAGATAAAAAAGAAAACAATGAAACAAAAAAATATTAATATGGAAAACAATTGAGAAGTCATTAAACAGAAAAAAACAATGGCTCTGGAAAAAGAGTTAGAAGTTTTTGTTGGCAAATTAGAGAGAATTCGGAGTAATCGGATTTCCTTGGAAGCAATTAGAGGATTAATGGTAAATTATCAAAATGAAAGAAAACCTTTAAAAGCAATAGCCAATTTAAGAATTTCACCTAATCATGAACTAATTGCCCGGGCTTTTGAACCAAAAATGACACCCTTAATCAGTAAAACGATTTTAGATAATCAGTTAGGATATAAAGTTGAAAGAAGCACCAAAGAAGAGGTTTATTTTGCCCTCACCCCCATCACTACCCAAATCAAAGAAAAACTAATTAAGGAGGCAAAATTGATCACTGAGGAAGGTAAAAAAAATTTTCGCCTTATTCACCAAGAACTTAAAAACTGGTTAAAAAAAGAACCTCATCTTTCTCAGGACCAAAAAAAGAGTTATGAAAAACAAGCGGATAAATTGGTTAAGGAGTATCAAGATAAATTACTATCAGCCGAAGAAAAAAAAATAAAAGAACTAAGTTCTTAAAAGATATAAAAATTATAAAATTAAAACATAACAGGAAACCCAAAAAATACCTTATGAAAAAAGAAATAAATAAAAAGAACAAGAAATTGCCGCCTATCCATCCCGGGGAAATTTTGCGAGAAAGATTATTAATTCCTCGTGATATCAGTCCCCAAGAATTAGCAACGGCACTAAAAGTTCCTAAGGAACAGATAAAGTGAGTGTGTGAGGAAAGGGCAGATATCACGCCCGATTTAGCTGCTCGATTAGCACTTTATTTTGACAGCACTGTTGAATTCTGGCTTAATTTACAACGCAGTTATGAGGAAGAAATAGCAAGAGAAAGAACTGAATTATTAAAAGAAGAAATTATTCCTTATAAAGTCAAGCGAGGAAATTCTAGGTATGCCGTTGCCAACCATTAAGCGAAAAAAGTTTAAGAAAAATGTCAGGGAATACATGGAAGGTAATTGATTTTCAGAATGAGAAGGAATTAAGAATATTGCTGAAACTCGTCAAAACTTAAAAATAGTGGCTAATGCCCGAGATAAAAGAGATTTTAATATGTTTGCTCTGGAAAAAGGAGCCAAAACCTCTGATTTGCGTCTAGAATTAATTCAAGGAACTAAAAATTATTACAGCATTAGAACTGGCGGACCATGACGCATATTTTTTTTATTTGGGAGAATAATGAGGCTTGAGAAATTGATTTAAGCAAGCATGATTATAAGAAAGTAAAGAGGAAGTAACTACAAAGTTTTTAATTAAGTTAAGTTTTCTATAAAAATATTCACCTCCAAGAACAAACTATATATAATATAAAATAAATTAAGGAGGTAGAAAGAAAGTGATTGACGAGTAAAGAGAAATACCGCCCTTGTCTCTCTCTCTCTCTGCAATTTAACTTAATAACAATAAATTAATAACTAAAAATAAATACTTTAAATAAGCAAAAGCATAAAATATTAAAAAATATTAAAGTACTATGAACAGAAATCAAAATACTAAATCCTTAGAAGAAAGAAAAAAACAATTAGCCAGTTTAAAGGCGGAATGAGGAGAAATGAAAAATCAAGAAGAGAACTTAAAAAAACAGTTTTACGCTAGCCCAAAAAATAGTTCCGAAAGAGCCTCCATTAAAAATCAATTAACCCGGCTCCAAAAAGAAAAGTTTGATAAAGGTGAGTGTGGAAAAGGAATTAGTTTTGATGCTAAAAATGAAGAATTATTCGAACGCCTAAAAAACCCCACCGGTCCAGCCACTGACCCTGGCGTTTTAGCCAGTCAAATTAAAGAAGAATTAAGAGCCATTTTGAACGGAAGCCGAAAAATGAAAAGCGGAGACAGAGTAGGGGATATTTGAGAAGCCAATCACGGTAAAGAATTTTGTTATTTTGGTTCGAAGAAAGAAATTAAAGAAGCGATTGCTAATTTGCCTCGCAAACGTCAAGAACCGCTGGACTTAGATAAAATAACTACTCGGATGGTACGAGTTAAGCGGGAAGATTTAAATTCGGCTGATTTTAACGAAATAATTAGTTTAATTCGTCAAGTTAGTAGTTTTTTAGAGGAAAAAGACAAACAAGAGCAACAGCAAACTGAAAATATAAAATTGAACAACCCTCATTTATTTACTCAATCAAGATGTTCGACAGATGGAGAATACAACGGTCGCAGAAGGTGAGAAAATTGACATACTTTTAGTGGCAAACATAATGGTTTTAATTATACTATTTATGTTCCGGATAACCATTTTGCTTTAACTAATGTGTTGTTTGATGACGGTTGGGGAACTAACTCGGAAGTGAGCAAATTTTTCGTAGTGAAAGGAGTGCCGGCACCACAAACGCTTCATTATTGAAATGTTGCTCAGCAAAGAGATGAAATTGTTTCCGACGAAAAACAAGCCCGACGCTTAATAAACCAAGGCAAACAGGTTAGTTATCAAACTTATGTTGACTTAAATGATAAAATTTCTATCGACCATTACCAAGAAAACGGACAGTTAGATTTAGCCAAACCAGTTAGTGGGATTAATAAAGGACTAATTAAAAATAACGACCATGGAAAAAGTATGAGTGGCAGACTTATTACTAACGATAATGAAAAAGCCAAAACATCTGAAAAAATTGATAATGAATTTCTCCTGCAATACTTTCAAGAAAAAAATATCAAACAAATATCTTTAACTCCGGACGGTAATTTACTGATTGAATATAATAGTGATAAAACAGAAATTATAAATAACAATCAAGCTAATAATCAAGAACTACAAAAAGTTATTAGTTATTACCAAAAAAATAATCAAACCAATTTAAGTCAGCAAGATTTAATTAGTATGTCCGATACTAACTCGTCAACCACAAGTCCGAAAAATAACCATGTTTTATTAATCAGTTTTGGTATTGTTGGAGCCTTAATGGTTGGAACGGCTATCGGATTATGACTGAAAAAGAACAAAGTTAAAAAAGGTTAATTTTCTCACTTCTTTTGTTTTTTACTTCTCCTAATTAGGAAAACAATAATAACCTCTAGTCCTCCTGAAATAAGAAAAATAACTCAAAAATATTTATCTAAAAATGGTTCGACATGTTTTA